AGTAGACCATAATCTAATATCTGTACATTGTAACATCCGGTTTCTTCTTACAAAATAAAGTCGAGAAGATTTGTCTAATATCTTGGGGGCGTTTTTTTTATTAAAACAATTATTCCACTCGCGCTTGTTGAATATGAGATGATTATAGCCAGATCGGCGCTACGTGCCTTGTTAGCCATCTATCATCTCATATCCAACGCGCGCTCGTGGAATAGTTGTAAAATATCATTCCAAAGTTGTCTCCAGAAATGTGTTTCTTTGTTCGTTTTTTTTTTACGGTTAACTTTTTTTACGACTATCGGTTAACATTTTTGGCCAATTAACGGCCAGTGGTTAACCTCCTGGAAACCCTTTCTTAAAGGTCAATCAGGTCATAGTTAATAGAGTTCCCTCTATTAACTCTGATCAGCTATAGTTTCTGATGGCTACACGAGGCGCCATTGGTTTGAAACTATTTCAGGGATCTGGGTATGATTTCTGGTATCATGTTCAAGCCACGGAAGTTTGATCTGCGTTCGTGTGTCCTCCGTTTGCGTACGAAGTTTTAGCATAAGTCAAACTTAAACAGTATTTTAATATCCAGAACTTCATAGCTTATAAAATTGAATATCTGCAATAGGGAATGATGTACTGAAAATGTGATTACTTCAATTTCTCACCAACTGTTTGCTGATTGACTAATTTTAGTGAACATGGTCAAATTAGACAACAACATAGGCAATTTGATCTCATCTTTTATGCGGCGACGTAATGTCGATTGGTAACGTTTTTGTGCATGTATTCCATTTCCCGTAATATCTCAGCTTAGATAAAAACAGCGAACTTTAATTTTTATAAAAAATGGTTTACCCCTCTATTAGTCGGTACACTTAACGTATATCAACAGCTCTTGTTTAGTTTCCGCCTCCTGGTCATCAGATATTTCAAATCACTTGATGTTTGTTGACAAACTCGATTGGACTACTTTGCTTACGAGGAAGGTTTAAGAGGTACAAAAAATGTGGAAAACCTTGCATAAAAGACAGAACTAAGTTCCATCTAAGATTCTTCGAGCACAAACGAGTTCCTTGGGAGGAGTAACACATCATCGGCCAAGAGATGCATGAAAAAGAATACCGTAAAATTCCGCGGTTATGAGCCCCTTCGCTTATAAGCCCCACTGGTTACAGGCCCATCTACTTGGAAGCAAAAATATTCATACAGTTTTACGCCTCCCCGAATATTAGCCCCCCTATAGTTCCCCTTGTTTTCTTAAACTAAGATGACGTCCAATTAACTTAGAGAATTAAAGGATCCCTTTCAACCACAATACCCTGCGCGCCCAAACAGAAAAAATAATTAAGAAATAACTAGTCAAATAGAAAGAACAATAAATTTGGAACGCGATTGAGGAAATTCAAGACCTCAGTGAGGCAAATGTACTCGGATGAACGAGGATTTCTTTCCACTTCACGACTTGTCCAATACCGGATGGCAGAGAAAATGGCGGATTTCACTTATCGCGCGCGCAATGTATTGTGGTTGGAAGGGATCCTTTAAGTGCAGGAAGCCTCGCCGCCGTGAACCAGACATTAAAATTTTTAACAATGACAACGAAGATGAACTCTGAGCTTCCGGTTTGTTGCGTACCGGTCACGTTCACGTTGGTAAGTTTTGATCTTATTCCTAAAAATTGAAATACATTGGATTTGTAACGAGGCTTAAAAGTTTAAATAAAAATTAGTCGATTAAGAACGTATTTCCATCGACACTGCTGTGGCTCATTTGGTAATTTTTTTTTTTATTCAGTTTATAAGCCCATTCAAAACCCCTTACGAAGTTGTGTAAGCCCAGGACTTATAACCGGAATTTTACGGTATTGAATTCTGGCGCGCCATTCTAAGGAATGTCAGAAAACCAAAATTCCAGGAAATAAAAACTAAAAAAAAGCCAAGCTAAGGAGAAGGAATAAGAACGAAGAAAACGCTCAAGGGGATTTATTCATTATCGAAGGAAACGTTAAAGATAAGAGTGCTGAAAAAACCTTTGAGACCTGGAAACCTATCTTAGAAACCTCTATTGTAAGCGAGAATGGCCTTTAAGGAAGGTAAAATATTGCAGTCGTTTGTACTCTGGATATATCTTAAACTGTATTTTCCCGCGCAATTTACCTTGAATTTTACGTCATGTAATGGTTATGGTTATGGAGTGAAAACAATGCTCCGCTACTATAACTATTAATTATCTGTGCAATGTATTTATCACGGGTTATGTAGCCCTTTATTTGGGGTGTTACATAGTATGTTGTTAAAATTGATTCATTAGCGTTCGGCTATACGTAATAGAGTTGTTGTCATTTAGATTCATTTGCGTCTTACGAGTAGGGGTAATCAGTTTCTCTTAGACGTAGCTTTTGCATGCTGCTATTTGAAATTAAGTTTTAGCTCGTTTACGGAATCATTGTCATACGAACATAATTTAGATTGTTTTGTAGGGTGGTTTTTCTTGCTATATGTTTCACATTTCCGAGTTTTTATTCTGTTTGTTGTATCATTCCTGTCCATTTTGTTGATGAAGGCATCGCACACGGCTCGTGTTGACGCACCCCAATTGTGGTTGCCTGCAGGGTAGCGAATTTGAATATAAACTTCTAGCAGGAAAACAGTGCAACTGGTCGAACCCTCGAGAAAAGTCCAAAAGAAATGGAAAAATTAAGTTCTGAAGAATCGGGGTGGTACAAGAGTTTCAGAAGGGTCTCAGTAGGTTAAACCTTCAAAGATAAGCTTTTTTTAACCGTTAAACGTAAAAGAAACAGTTCGAACTTAGAGTTTTAGGCATTCTTCGAAGAGATTAGAGAAGGCGGTAATTTTGTGTGAGCTGGGAATAAATGGCAGTGATATAATATGCGTGCTCAAATGTGGTGATCGTTCAGACTTGGTAAAAAACAACTGTCCTTGTTCACAGTACATGTAAAAGTATTTCAAAATAAGATGGTACTTCCACGAATGAATCAGAAGGAGTTAAGAGAAGAACGAAAAGTAGAAGGAAGGACTGTTTGTGGTGAGCTCTAAATGCTGTTTGTTGTCTTTCACTGGCTTGTAGACGCAACATGTCAGCGCTAAAATGGCCGTTTTAGACTACAGTATTGTAGACTTTTTCCCTCTAGTTCAGTTAGGATTGCCACTTAAAAAACACAAGATCTACAAGTAATCTTAAACAATTAACTTACCATTTAAAAAGTCGAAAACATTCAGCGTTCACTTTGTTGAAAGCAAAGTTAGTACTTGGATGATGCATTTACCTGCAAGAACGGAAAAAATCTATTGATAATGGGCAAATGATAATCCCTACAGATGGAACGAGAGTTTGGGATGTGTCCTCAATATTGGTGGTTGTTTTGTCACGTCATTGAAAAAACAAAACAAAACAAAACAAAACCCAGTAAATGCATATAACGAGTGATTGATGCTATTGTGAAGCACTAAGATAATTGACGAGCAGCCCAAGTCGTTTTTTACGTCTGAGGTTTCCCACTTGTGAGTTACAAATGCCCCCACATTTCGGGCAGAGATTTTACCATATGGTTCCCTACCTTGGTGCGATATTTTAGTCATCTTAAGTTAACGCCTTTAAGTGTAAAGACCAGTGATGTGGGTTATTTTAGAGCAAATTACAAATGGGCTCCGACCACTTTTTCTAATCTATTATATCAGTTAGTATTTTTGTTTTCGATCAGGCAAATCACATCCGCTAGAAAATGAAAATTTCACGAAGACAACGAGCCGGATTATCACGCACAGATAACTTACCATGTAAAGATAATAGCTTCAGTTGTGCCGTGATCAATCTTGTGAAGATCCAGCCGTTCTAAATAGAGGAACTCTTAAGACTGACGTTCCCTGTAAAACAGAGTAAAATGTATCAATTTTGCATGCTGAAATCCGTCATTAATGATTTAATATACACAAGTCTTTCCTAGCGGTCTTTCCTTGCACTTAGGTGGCACGGAAAGCCGTAAAAATCTTGAACAAAAGCTCATCTTTCAAACCGGCAGTCTAAATCCCACAGGGATCAACGAAAGCTTTTCATTCCACTAATTTATTCATGTTTTTCTCGTTGCCATGCTCCCACCAATAACGTAGCTCCATTTTCTGCCTTTAAAAGCACACACAACCCACAATTCCTCTATTCGCTCCGACGAAGGGCTAACGCTCGAAACGTCAGCTTTTGTAATCATTACGGTGGCCAATTTACCATTTCAACTTTGTTGATATATCCAAATTATTTCGTTACTCCCACCGACGCAGCCCCAAACAGTTTCTTTCGAAACTATCAGCCTTTATTCATTTGAAA